TGATTGTTAATAATATGTAAAAGTTTAGATCTGTGATTTTTTTTATGAGATTACTCCTTGAGATAAATAATAAAATCGATCCTTTCTTTGTGGCCACAAATTGTAGCCTGCTACTAAGAGAACTGGCTGAGAAAGATACCTTGCTTGCTTACACTTTGTTAACCTGTAACAAATTACTTAGATGTGAATATAAGTGGGTTCTTGGAATAATTTCTTTTTCACTTGTAATATGTAAAATATTTAATCATGTAAGGGTTTGGGGAATATGCTGGGGTTTTTTAAACTTATATTTACTATAATTATTCACTTAAAAAATAAAATGTAACCACACTGTAATTTTTATACTGCTTGAAAGATTTTGCTGGGGGATGTATGTTGTGGGAGAAAAAATAAAATTGTTGGGGCCTTACTTCATCCACCAAGTGTGTGAGTATGTGCCTGCATTACATTAGTCTCTGACGCCACACCTCCTTCTTGGGTTGCTGAACTCATTGTCGGAGCTGGCCTCTGGGCAAGCTCCAAGCTCTGCACCTCCATGTCTGATGTCAAAATGCTCTTCAGAGCTCCAACTCCTTTCAGCTTTGTTGACTGCAACACACTTCTTTCTCCTGGGCTGATTCCATTCCTGTGAGCAGCTTGCTTTAGCGGATATCCCACGAGTCTGGCATCTCCAGAATCCTGAGGTTTCCAAGGCAACCCAGGCTTCACCTTCACAGCTTCACACAATGGCCCCTCTAGGCCTCCATGCAGGGACACCCCTGACACACTCCTAGCCTCAACATCTTTCCTTGGTTTGTGGAGGGAGATTCCATACCCCTTTCTTCTATCCTTGACTCTAAAGCCAGAACCGAAGAAGCTGTCAGAAGCTGTCAAGTTCCACTGCTTGCTGGGGCTAAAACGTGGCCCCTTTCATTCAATTACATCTTTACCAGCTGTTTTCAGTGGTATCTTCTACTACCTAAGCTGTCCTGGAACTCACTCTATAGACCACACTGGCCTTGAGCTTAGAGATCCGCCAGCCTCTGCCTTCTGGGATTAAAGGCATGTACCACCACACCTAGACTTAAACTGTTCTTTAATCCATTTTTAGAAGTTTAACTGAGAGGGGTCTTATCCTGAGGTCACCACTCCCTTGGTTCCATTTCTTAATCTGTTTATCTTCTTGAACACAATACTTGGTTCCATTCCATTTGCTGGTGTCCCTTTTCTCCTCAGTCTGTACATTTTGTATTCTTCCTTGTTCAGCTTGCTCCATTTAAAAAAAATAGATCTTCATAAGACTGAACATTAATAACCACATGACAGAGTCAATGCTAGGCTATTTTGAGATTTCCTCTGCCAACAGCATTCTGTTTCTAAATCTCTTTACTTTAGCCTCAGGGAGACTCTTTAGGCAAGGACAAAAAGCAGGTACGTTCTTCACCAAAATTTCACAAGAACAATATCTAGGCAACATATTAAAATTCTTCTCCTCTGAAACCTCTTGAGCCAGCTCCCTAGGGTTCAAATTACCTTTACCATCATTGTCGTCCATGCTCCTACTAGTATGGCCCATTAAGTCCTACTTAAAGCATTCCACTGCTTTCCTAACCCAAAGTTCCGAAGTCCAAATTCCACCAAACTAAAGCATGGTCAGGCCTATCACAGCAATACCTACCCCACTCCTGGTACCAACTTCTGCCTTAGTTGGGGTTTTATTGCTGTGAAGAGACACAATGATCATAGCAACTCTTTAAAAGAAAACATTTAATTGGGGCTAGCTTACAGTTTCAGAAGTTTCTAGCTTCAGTTGCAGAATGTTCCCATTATAACAGGCTGGGAAACATGGTGGCATACAGAGGGACGTAGTGCTGGAGAAGAAGCTGCAAGTTCTGCATCTTGATCCTTGGGCAGCAGAAGGAGACTGTAAGTCACACTGGCCATAGTTTGAGCAGTTACAGTGACATACTTCTTCCCACAAGGCTACACTTCTTCCCAACAAAGCCACGCCTCCTAATGGTGCATTCCTTATAGGACAAGCATTCAAACACATGAGTCTATGGGAGCCATTCATATTCAAACTGCAGAGCTTAAGGTAGCCTGAGTATAACTCCATTTTGAAATAAAGATCTTGACTGGGAACTGAATTCAG